CTGCCAAGGACTGGCCCTCAAGTGCTCTCCAAGGAGAGAACCACAGCTCCTACTTTTTCAACCCTGGACTCAGTGCTGGCTCCTGGCATTTGTGGAACGGTGCCCTGGATGTCACAGCCTCTCGTTCCCTTGACAACCTCCTGTTCTCTAGGGGGATGAGGGCTTAGTCTCTGTTCAGCTCCTGGATTTCATCACCTCGTCTATTCCAGTTTTAGTCTCTGCTAAGCAGTTCTTTGTACAGACCCTGGTGCTTCTTAGCAGATTGTCTACATTCACCCTGGATCTTTCAGTCCTTTGCATCTGGTGGAACATGTGGAACCAGCCCTCCTGGGTTCCTCCTTCTCCCCCACCTTCCTAGGACCCTGGAAGGGCCAGTACTTCCCCTCTTACAAGTCTTTCCACTCTAATTCAGGGAAGGTGCAAACCCTCTCTAAAGGAGCTCTGCCCCAAGCTGGAGACAGAGCTTGGGAACACCATGTGCATGATCTCTGCCTGCAGATGTTACTCCGCCCCCAGGCCCAATGCTCCCCCTCCTCCTCCAGGCATTACTCTCACCTCCCCCTCTCTCCTGTTGACATTCTTGAGTCCTTTCCAGGTTCCTTACTGATATAGAGATCTGGACTTTTTTGAGGGGTGAGGGGGGTGGGGGGTGTAACTCTTTTGCTCCACTGTTTACCCCTTTGCTTTTGGGTGGGCTTGCATCATCCACTGCGTCGGGCTGTCTACACCCAGTCACATCTGTAGTGGGTAAAATCTGTTTCCTCATGAGCAAGAAAGAAAATGTGGGAGTGAGGCATGAGGCAAATCTAACTCACTTGGGGCTGATGCTGTTACTCTCAGTGTAGACCGGCAGTGCTTCAGTGATTTGAACAGACTCGGGATATACCTTGGGCATCCTCGCTGTCTACCATGAAGTGGCACGTGTGCAGGTGTGCGCATGAGCTGCCCCGTTCCACAGCGAAACAAAACTCTTAGCATGGTGCCTTGTGTATAGTAAGTGTTCAGTGAATGTTATCTGCTGTTAGCATTCCTATTATTACAATCACTTAGGAGTAAAAGTGAAATATCTTGCCACATACCTCGTAAAATGCCCTATTGGGCATTGGTGGAGGTTTGAATACATTTTTATTTGTTAGGCTGATTTGGGGAGGATTTTCTTATAGTGGGCCATGGCTCTGGTGCATTGTGGGTCAGCTAGTTATTCCAGGGTCTTTATTAACAGACTTTAGGATTTAAAAAATTTTTTTTAATTTATCAATATACAATGTAGTTGATTTTCATGTCCCTTTACCAATTTCTCCTTCACCCCCTCCCTCTCTCCCTCCCCCCCATCATATCTGTTCACTTGTCTTAACAAGTTCCGGGAATTGTGATTGCTGTGTCTTCTCCCCCCCCACCGGCCATTTGTTTGTTTGTATATTTATTTATTTATTTTTATTAGCTCCCACAAATAAGTGAGAACATGGTATTTCTCTTTCTGTGCCTGGCTTATTTCACTTAATATAATTTCTCTAACAGGCTTTAGGATTTTATACCTACATGTAAATTTAGTCTGAACTTTTCACTTGCTAACCTGAAAGTGCTTTGAATTGTCTCAGGCCCTGGAGTGGAGTTAGGAGGCTCAGGCCCACAGTCCCACTAGAGAATCTGCAACACCAAAACCAGCCTGAGCAGGGAGGGACTCCCTTTCTCTCTGGTGTGAATGTCCCTGATGACCACATGATAATATGGGCAAGAGCATCAGACCAGGGATCAGAAGAAATGAGTGCAGGCTCCAGATTTGCAACGTCGTGGCTAACAATACCAAGAATAAGCTGCGATGTGTTAAGTGGGTCTTGTGTTCCAGGCACTAAGTCCTTTATATGTTTATCTTATTCACTATGTGGTCTTGGGCTGGTGAATTTACCTTTCTGTTTCTGTTTCTTCATCTCTAAAATGGAGATGACAACACTAAACAAGGAGGTTGAGAGGAGGTAATGAAATAATGTGTGTGAGTCTTTGAAAAAAAGCACAAAGGGATATATACTGTGTGCCATATTTTCACCAAAGAACCAAGATGGTAATCTTCAGGCCTTTGAAGAGTCTGCATTGTACAGAGGAGGGATGCTGGCAAAACTCTGTCTGATGGTGAATTTGATAGCCCAGCTTTGTGAGGGCAGAATATGAGGCCCCTGGTGGTGCTTTATCTGTTACCTGAGATCAGGGTGTCTGTCTCCTGGCACAGATGTGACACCTGTTGCGGGAGAAACAGGCCTTGGCAGCTGGTTCTCTGGGAGGAGAGGTCTGGCCAGGAGCAGGGGGAGTTCGCTTACCAGAGTGCAAGAGACCAGTGTCAATAGTTAAATCAGCACATTCTTTAGCTCCAAGTTCCCACACGGGGGCTAAGCAATGCCTGGGTATCCACAGGCAGGATTAATGCAGGGGCATAGACAGGGGAGAAGAAATGTCCTCAGTGCCTGATGAGGAATATGCACTAAATATTTATTTATTGTATTAATATTTGTTAGGGGAGATGGGGGTCCAAAAGCAGTACCTGTGAAGCAAAGGGACGTGTCATCTGTTGCTGTGCTACCACTGAGGCACTACCGGCCCCGGTCGGCTTTCTTCTCTGTTCGATAGCATAGAGAGAAGAGAGAGAGCTACTGGCTATTTGCAGATTACAAAATTCAAAAAGGCCCAGAACTCACAGCCCAGAACTCACTCTGACTCTTAAATTCAAACCCCCAAACTCAGAAATTGTTAGGAAGAAGAAATGTTTACTGAGTACTTAATGTGTGTCACATCCCACGCTAGGTCTGACACCCATGACTTAATCCTCACAGCAGTCCTGCGGGGCAGGTGTTTTTATCCCCACCATTCAGATTAAGAAACCAAGGCCAAAGAGAGTAAGTTAGTTCCTCAAGCAGTCAGTTTATAAGTGGTAGATATACAATTAAGTCTTTCTGAATCCAAAGCATTGCTTGTCTTTCTACTATATTGTGAAGTCTGCACTTTTTTTTTTTGACCGGTAAGGGGATCGCAACCCTCAGCACGGTGTTGTCTGCACCGCGCTCAGCCAGTGAGCGCACCGGCCATCCCTATATAGGATCCGAACTCGCAGCCTCTGCGCTACCAGCGCCGCACTCTGCCGAGTGAGCCACGGGGCTGGCCCGTAGTCTGCACTTTTTTTTTTTTGACCGGTAAGGGGATCGCAACCCTCAGCACGGTGTTGTCTGCACCGCGCTCAGCCAGTGAGCGCACCGGCCATCCCTATATAGGATCCGAACTCGCAGCCTCTGCGCTACCAGCGCCGCACTCTCCCGAGTGAGCCACGGGGCTGGCCCGTAGTCTGCACTTTTTTAATTACTGAAGGAAGGTGAAGGGTTTGGATCCCCTTACTGGCCAACCACCAAACAAACAAATAAATAAAACTAACAACTAACTGAAGGCTGAGTTACTGACTGTCCCAAAGCCATCCAGACAAACTTGTGGCCCAGGATCAGGGCCTGGCTAGGTTTAACATCACTGAATTTCCTCCCTGTAATCCTCCTCTGCTCAGATGATTTGTCCTTGGATTTGTCCTGAGAGGGCCACCTCTTACCAGCTGTTAAAGAGAAACATAAGTGAACACTAGTTAAAGGTGGGAAAGACAGATTTTATTCAGTGCTATTGCGGTAGGGGAAGGAGACTTCAACATCAAACTGAACTCCATTCTGAATACAGAAAGACAGCTGGGGATTTATAGCCAACAAGCAGAGTGAGGGGGGTTAGTGAATGGAAAATTTAAGAGTATCCCTAATCCAAAAATCCAAAATTTGAAATGCTGCAAAATTCGCATCTTTTTGAGCACTGACGTGCTGCTCAAAGGAAATGCTCATTGGAGCATTTCAGATTTGCTAAACTGGTAAGTATAATGCAGATATTCTAAAATCTGAAAAAAATTCAAAACACTGCTGGTCTCAACCATTTCTCAACCATTTGAGTTAAGGGATACTCAATGTGTACTAAAAAGGGACATCAAGTGTAGGGGGATTCTTGCTAATCTTACCTAATAGGATTCTTGCTAAAGACAAAGGTGGGAGATAAGGAACTTGACCGTGTATCAAGGGTGATCACATATCAAGGGTTGGGGGATTCTCACTAAACTGACTTGGCAGGATTCTTGCTAAAAACTGGGTTAGGCAGGCACAAGACAGGGCCCCAGGATGAGGCTTCCCCAAAAAGAGGACATTTGTCACTTCCCAGCAGATGCCAGGACAAGAGAAGCTGAAGACCCACAGCGATAGTTCATTGACTTTAAAGTAAGTTGTCTCACCTTTGGTGTGACTTCCATCAGTTGGAGAATTTGGCTGGAGCTGAAAACCAGTCCATGAGGAAGAATGTACATCTGAGATGTGCCGTCTGAGATGTGCTGTAACTCCCACTGACAGGGCAGACAGCATTTCTTTGGGTATTTCCTTACAACCTTCTCTAAAAGTAGATGGTTTTTAGTCATGAGAGCAAAGTCAACGAAGGGATGACCCAGCCATTCAGACACCGAAGCAAAGCAGGGCCTGTCCTCCCCCTCCCAGTGCGACTCATTTGTACCTGAGCTCCTCGGGGCTGGGAAGGGTTGGGGCTCTTACTTTAGAGCATGTGATTGCGCTGGGATTAGCAGATGAACAGCAGCTCTCCCCTGAGCTCATCCAGAAGTGGAGGGCGTGGGTTTGGAAGCATTCTTTCTCCCTCACTTCCCGTATTTTCACATCACTCCTTGGCCCTAGCATCCTGCCTCCCCTAAACATTCCCCTGCACTGAACTCGTCGGACCTGTTCCTGACTGCTGGCTGCTGGCCCTAGAAACAGGAGAGACCTTGATGGCAGAGGGATAAGCCTGCAGAAGTCCCTATAACCATAACATGAGCAGAGGTTTAAACGTCTCTGCAGAAATCCAAAGGCACAGATTCCCCAGCTGAGGTCTCTGCCCCTGGTACTCCTCAAAGCCTATGCCAAAACATGCCCACAGGAGGAAATGTAGGCGGAATGAGAAAGCGCCAGCTTGTGAGACAGAGAGGCTCTCTGTTCTAGTCCTGGCTTTGGAACGACTAGCTCTGTGACAAACTCCGAGCTGCTTTTCCCCCATCTGTAAACTGGGGGCAATCAGACCTGGCCTATCCCACAAGATTCTTAGAAGGCTCAGATGAGAACATGCCTGTAGATGCCTAGTAAACAGTAAAGGGCCACACAAAACATAACCTTGTAAGAAACGCGCCCTCACCCCACCCCACTGCTGCGTTCCAGTATGCGGCTCCTGCCCCTCCCAGAGTCCGTTCCATAAACACTGTGCACAGTGTCAATGCCCACCTTCTGGGAGGCCCATATTTGTGGGTTGTGCTCTTTATTCTTTCTGGTTGGCTGTTCCTGGCTCTGCTGGTGAGCACATAGGGGTTCCTGTGACACTTCTGCCAACTATTGGCACTTGGTGGCCGGTGACTGTCGGTCTAACTCCTTTTATGCAGTGCCCACCACGTATCGTGGGAGCATCTTGAAGCTGTTGGAGAGAAAGTAGCAGCCCAGCTGAATCCACCTGAACACGGGTCCTAGTCTTAACCTTGTCACTGTTTGCTAAGTGAGCCTAGATGAGTCATTTAACCAGCCTGGGCGCCATTTTCCTCATCTGAGATGAGGACAGGATGATCTTGAAAGCCCCTTCTAGCTCACTGCAGCCCCATGCCCCTTTGCCTGTTCACGAATGCATCGTTCACCCAGCAGTTTCTTGTTCCCTCCCTCACTCTCTGCACGGTTTGGCTTTTTGCCTCCCAGATGTGTGCAGGCCACCCGGTTCCAGAGCCTTCGGCGTGCAGACATCATCAGTCACAAGCAGCCTCCAGATCAATCCAGGAAGAGCTGGGCCTCTCATCGTCATGTCTCCAGCAGTTCATAAGTTTGTTTGACAAATACCAGGTCCCAGGCTCACCCTTTCCTGCCTCCCCCGGATCTGGTTCCATCCAGCAACCCAGCGATTAGTAGTGGGCAGGGGAGGGTGTCCCCACCCACCAGCAATCCCCCGCTGTTTACCCAGGCGTGAGGAAAGGGACTGAGCTGGGAGGGAAGGAGTGTACTTCCTTTCGCAACCTCTCCTCCGTAGCAGCTTTTGAGAGAAATCAGCCTCCGGAGGCAACCAGGGAAGAATCAGCCTGTAGCGAGTCAACAGGGGGAGGACAGTGGTCCCTTTTCACCTAGCCTGCCTCCTTCTGTGATTTATGGAAGGCAGAGCATTCTAGTGGGGTTGTAAGCTCGTTTCCCCTCTCTGCGCACGGCCAAGTTTATAACCTCTTACCTCACACCTACCATACCAAGAGGGACGAGGAGCAGAAGAGATGACGACCACCTCTGTTATTTCTCCCAAACTCTTACAGATCTATGAGGTCTTCAAATTATGCTGACCTTGCTTTTCTCTTCTTTCCCTCCCATAGGGTATGGCAGCTGGAGAGAACTGGCCAAGGCTCTGGCCAGCAAGAACATTCCTGCTGTGGATCCAAATCTCCAGTTCTATCGTCCGCAGAGGCTGAGCCTCCAGGTACGTGCCGGGCCAGCCCATTTTCCCTGCTGGGACCCTCAGTTGTCGTCCCCTGATGGCTTTAAAGGAAACCTCTATTCTCTGTGCCTACGTAGGAGGGACAAGGGAGAAATGGCTCCTGGAATACTAATCTGGCATCTGGGATTTCTTAGCTGAATGGGGAGAGGTGCCATTCTGCCCTCCTCAAAGCCTGCAGCTGCTGCTGCTGTACCTGGTTTTCCTGTTTCTGCCTTTGTCACATAGTTCAAGATGCCCATGTCTGAACCACTCGCACCCTCCATCTCAAACAGCACATCCTGCCTCTTGCTGGCATGAGGACTGGGTTGTACTTTGGTGACAATACCAGGTGCTTGCTGCCGAGAGTCAGAGATAATGAGGTAGACAGCCACTGCTCCCTGCAAGGAGCTGGCGGTACAGATTTGTAATGAAGCATGTTTCCTAGAGTGTTTCTTGAGCCAGTGGTCCCTAAGGAGGCAGATTAGGGAAACTGGGATATGATTCATTTGGAAGCCGCAAGGTTGAGGCTAGAATAGATGTGGTTTCCCAAAGCTGGACCAGAACCCAGCTGAAACTGTGGACCTCCATGGTAGGGAGGGTTTGGGGTGTCCCTGAGTGGCTCCCTCTTGTTGGGACAAGTGGTTGACAAATCTGGGCAGAGCCCTGGGGGATATAGAGGAAGAACAAGTGAAGGCCCTGCCCTCAGGAGGCCTCGATCTAATTAGAAAAACTTTTTAGAGTTTATTTAGAAAGAACTTCAGGAGCACACACTGGTGCGACTGTAAGGAGGTGTGATCCCGAGGGATGCAGTGAGAACAGTAAGCGGCAGTGTCCCATAGCTGGGGGCAGGGACTGTGTCTCCTGCCTCTGCTTCTCCACGGGCACTTCCCATCTTGCCCCCGATTTTTCATCCTCACATTTCCACCAAGTTCATTCTTCTTTCTTCCACTAGGACCGAGAAGTTGATCGAGGTGGGGTCAGTAACAGCAGCTACTTGAAGTGGAACAGGCCTGTCCCCTGGCTCTCAGAGGTAAGGGACTCTGCTGTCCTTGTCCTTTCAGAGGGTTAGAAAAGTACCTTTTTCTTTCTTCTAGGGATTATTATTAAAAATGTACACCTCCAGGGTTCCAGGCTCATTTGGCTTTTTAGCTTAGAGAAGGAGCACTGACATTTGCTGATGGCTGACTGGGTGCCAGGCTTTGCAGATCATTTCATGTCAGCTTTATGATCCTGTAATGTAGTATCATTATCCTCATTTTATAGGTGGCAAAAATGGCTCAGGAGAGTTACATGATTTTCATGGCCATGCCGATCCCAGTCTTAAAAGATAAGCTTCCCAAGCTGTCTTTTTTTTTTTGGCAGCTAGCCAGTAAGGGGATCCGAACCCTTGACCTTGGTATTTATAACACCACGCTGTAACCAACTGAGCTAACTGGCCAGCCCCCAAACTGTCTTTCTGGGACTATTAAGTCCCATAAGATATTCCAGCAGGAAAGGAGCCCATTGTTAAATAAGTTTTAAAACTTGTATACTACATCCATTTCTTGGAAATGCATACTAACATATGGAAGAGGACTGGCCGGTTCCCTTGCTTGGTTAGGGCGTGGTGTTGATAACACCAAAGTCCAGGGTTCTGTCAAAAAAAAAAAAAAAAAGAAAAAGAGAGATTCTGAGAAGTTTTGCAGTAATCTGTTTAACTTAGTTTAGCTCAGCATGTTCTGAACTTATTTGCCTCCTGAATTGCTTTTTTTCCATGAAACATCTATTAATATTCTATGAAACTCGTGTTCTGAGGAACATACATTAGGAAATTCTGCTTTAGAAAATGTTTATAAGAAGCAGTTAAGCATGTGATTAAAAGTTATAAACATCATGACACCTTTCATTTATATGGGCTTTGACAGCTTCTTTTTCTTTTGGTAAAGAAAGCAAGGTCAGGGCCGGCCCGGTGGCGCACTGCGCTAATGCGCCGCTTGGGAAGAGCGGAGGCGCTCCCGCCGAGGGTTCGGATCCCACATGCAGACCGGTTCTCGCTCACTGGCTGAGCGAGGCGCGGGGGCAACGCTGAGGGTTGCGATCCCGTTGCCGGTCCCGGTCTGGTACGGGGGCGACACTGAGGGTTGCGATCCATTGCTGGACACGGAAAAAGACAAAAAAAAAAAAGAAAGAAAGCAAGGTCAGGGAAGTTAATTACCGTACCCAGGATTACCTTGAGTGAATGCTTGTCCCAACTCCAGAGTGGTACGGTGCTTTTTAAATTTGAGTTTTATATTTTACAGCTTGTCTAGAACCCAGTGCCTTTTAGTCTCCAGGCCTGTGGATATAGATTACTTTTCTTGGCTGGGTGGTATGGGCCAGCCCACCGTCTTTATCCATACCTGTCACAGATTGATCTCCTCATCCAGTGTGGCTTATTTCCAGCCCATCCACTTGCTCTGGGGTAGGAGGGAAGGAGGCAGCACTATACTGAATGTGATGTTAGGTTACCTGCACTGTTTAAGGCCCTGAGAGAAGATGGAAAACAACAGTGGCACATCTGTGCTAGGTGACATCACCAGATAACTATGTCCCACCTCGCCTGGAGATGGTGTTTTGAAAAGAAGTTGCATTACAGATTGTTTGGTCTGGTGATCCAGCCTTCTCTCCTTTAAGGACAGCTTGGATCATTTTTTCTTCATGAATCAATTATTTTGTGACATTATAGCTATATAACGTTTATTAATAATTAATTTCCCCACTTTTTTTGGCCAGTCAAGGATATATGTATATGTATGAATATATATTGAAACAAAAACAGTAAACACATACTAAATAGTAATTAACATAGAATTAACTTTTTAAAGAAATATTTGATATCTTAGTACTTATGGCCTTTCGGTGGTAAATGGTTGATTTCCGCTGATCTCATTTTTCAAATATTAAAAGTAGCTTACAGAATCCTCTGCACAGTCTTCATGGATCTTAAGGGAATCACTGATCCAGTCCTCTCATTTTATCAACAAGGAGAACGAGGCCCTGAGAGGCTGCATGACGTAGCAGTCACTCAGCTGTACGGAGGGGCCAACTTGCTTCCAGCCCAGCCTCACGTCCCTCCACATCGTGAGGACCTGTGTGTTCCCACCTCCTTACTTGTCTCCTGCCTTTTGACCTCTGGTTTCAGCAGGAAAATCCCAGGTTAATGATACAGGTCGTTGAGTGAACATCTACTGGCTGTCAGGAGCTGCCTGGTTGTACTCGCTCACTCAAGGTCACAGAGTTAGGACTAGCCTTGCTGTAAAGGCACACGAGGACAGGATGTGAGAGGAAGGTGCTGCGTCCTTCGCTGTTCCCCTGCCCCAGGCGTTGAATGGCAGCTCCGGGTCTTTAGCAGAAGTCACTCTCAGATGCAGCAGCTTTGGACGTTCTTTCTACCTGGCGTGTCAGAGACAGACTGATCCAATTGCACAGCTGTGTGGCCGGGCCTCGCGGAGTAGCCACCCTCGGATACATACTCACCAATTAGCAACCCCCAATGCCGGTGCATTCATTTATCCGTCAGTAGACCAGTCTGTTAACCAAAATGCTATGCTAACCAGGCCGCCCTCTTCAAAAACCAAAATAGTTACAAGAAAGAAATGTGGTGAATACAAAGTCAGATGAAAGCAAGTCAGAGTTTTCTTGAGTTATTCATGCAGGCTTTGGCAAGACAGCGTCTCTCTCTCTCTCTGTGGGCAGGGCTGGGACACAGACTCCTGTTCTCAGGCTTTCTTTTCTTTTTTTTTGGCAGCTAGCCAATAAGGGGATCCAAACCCTTCACCTTGGTGTTATAACACCATGCTTGAAGCAACTGAGCTAACCAGCCAGCCCCTCTTGTTTTTTTTAAAAAAACTTTTATTGATATATAGTTCATATATCATACGATTCACCCATTTAAAGTGTGCGATGCAATCGTTTTTAGTAAATTCACAGACTTGTGCACCCATCACAATCAATTTTAGAACATTTTCATCACCGCGCAAAGAAACCCTGCCCTTTTTTTTTTCGTCTTTTTCCGTGTCCGGCAACGGATCGCAACCCTCAGTGTTGCCCCCGCACCAGACCGGGGACCGGCAACGGGATCGCAACCCTTGGCGTTGCTCCCGCACCTCGCTCAGCCAGTGAGCGGGAACCGGTCTGCACGTGGGATCCGAACCCTCGGGCGGGAGCGCCGCCGCGCTTCCCAAGCGGCTCACTATCCAGTGCGCCACCGGGCCGGCCCAGAAACCCTGCACTTTCTGGCTGTCACCTCTCACTACCCTCATCCTCGCAGCCGTCGGCAAACAGTAATCTATTTTCTTTCTGTAGATTTGCCATTTCTGGACATTCCATATAAGCGGAATCACACACTGTGTGGCCATCTGTGTGTGGCTTTTTTCACTCAGCATCATGTTTTCAAGGTCATTGTGTAGCACTCGTATTTATCAGTGCTTCGTTCCTTATTATGGCTGCATCATATGCCATTGTATGGATGTCCCACATTTTATTGATCCATTCCTCTGTTGATGAACATTTGTGGTGTTTCTACTTTTTGGCTATTTTGAATAATGTTGCTATGAACATTTGTGTACAGTTTTTGTGTGGATCAGGCTTTCCCGTTTTCAGAGCCCCAGATCACCATCATGGTAGTTTGTTTTATATTTTGTACACTTGCGTCACCTTGATGAGATACATGTGGACCTCTGGGCCCTTCCTCAAAGTCCAGAACTACCCCTTTTCTTTGAGGTGTCTGGAGCCCCTTCTTCTCAAAGGACAGGTGTGAACAGGGAATCAAAAGTACGTGGAGTGTTGAGTATACTAATTATCCTGTTTTGAACATCACGTATTGCACACGGGTATTGATATTCAATGCTCTACCCCACAGATATGTACAATCAATAATGTTCCAATGAAAAATTTTTTTTAAATTTAAAAAAGTAGATGGAGTACCTCGAAACTCTGAACAGGAGTTTAGTGTGTAGGAACCAGGGACCTGAGTGGCCTGCTGTGATGTCATGTGGCCCAGTCTTCTGGGCTTCTCCTCCAAGGCATGGCCTTACTGCCCCTGAGTTGAACCACCAGCTGGGTATGCTGGCCTAGTGAGTTTGAACCTCATCCAGCAGCGGCATGGTGTCATGGAGGGCCAGGCAGTGCTCACACCGTGATGGGCTTCTGAGGTCTTCTGACTTCACGCCCTCTGCACCTCACAGGGCTACTATAGCCCCAGCACAGGTGACACCAGTTTGCCTACATGTCTGTCTCCTTTGACGACCACATGTCTTTCCTCTTTCACTGGTACAAAGCACATGCTCAGTGCTTATAGAATAAATGGAGGAAAACGTTGTCCTGGGCTTGGCTTCTGCAGGCACTGTTCGTTCAAGATGTGCAGGGTGCACAGGGCAGAGAGCTATTCACTGTGCCAGGGAAGTCAGAGATGGCCTTGGAGAGAATGTTTGAGAAGAGTGAACAGGAGTCCGCCACGTGGCAAGGAAATGAAAGCGCCTTCCAATCAGGAAATAGCGTGGTGAAGCCTAGAAACGGGAAGGAGCGCGACAGTCTTAGTGTGACATTTTAGTTCGGTGCGGGTGGAATTTGGTTTGTGTGGCAGGGAGTGGTGTGAGGTGAGGCTGGGAAGGGAGGTCAGTCGTAAAAGACTTCACCTGCTAGGGTGAGGCTTTGTTCTGAAGGCTTGGGGGAGCCTTCCGAGGTTTTAGGCAGCACAGCGACTCAATCAGATCCATGCTTTAGAACGACAGCTCTGGAGGAAGCGTGAGGACTCGTTGGAGCGGGGAGCTGAGACCCAGTAGGCTCTGCTGCAGGCCTGGCCAGCCCAGGGGGCCCAGCAAAGGTAGGGGTGTGGGGGTGAAGACAGCAGACGCTCCTGTGTGAGGGCCCACCAGGCAGGCTGCCTCACCCTGATCCATACACCCAAACGCCTCCCACTTCCACAGGGTTATTTGCTGTGTGTCCTTGGGAGTCAGTTCACCTCTCTGAGCCTCAGTGTCCTCACCTGTGAAATGAGAGGGTTCCAACAGATATTTTCTCCACTGCTTCTAGCCGGAAGTTCCAAAACCGTCATTGGCTATAGACGTGCTCTGGTGCTTGGAGTTACTAGTGCCGTTCCCTTGGGCCTCAGTCCCTGCTGGACACTGGAGAGTGCAGGCAGAGGCCTTGCTGACGTGCTGGGGTCCCACATCCCTGCCAGATACAAAGTCTCCAAAATATGGAAGGACACAAATCCTGGTGGGGTCACCAGCCCAAGCCTGGGGAGGAAGGGGATGCCCGCTGGTCCCTCAGAGACGCCCACCTACAGCCTGAGGGTGTGTGAAGGATGGCTTAAGGGCTAACTTAATGCTGGTTAAGGTCAAGACCCCAGAGGAGACAGCAGTCCTCCTCCCGCACTCCCACCTCCCCTGCCTGGCATTGCCAAAGTCAGAAAGGCCCCGAGAGGGAGGGGGCGGGGGGGGGAGGCAGCCGGCTCAGCCCCTCCCTCCCTCCTTTCCCCACCCTAAAGCCCTGTGTCTCTGGCCCCCAGGCTGGACACAAGAGACTGCTCTGGTGGCACACCCTCCCCCAGTGACCTCCCTCCTGAGCACTGCCCTGAAAGTCTCCCTGGGAGGGGCAGAGGGGAGGCCATTGGAGGAGACAACTGAATCCTGTAAGCTGGACTTGAGGAACTCCCCCAGAAGTAGCACAATGTACCCATTCTTTCCTTCCTTGAAGCCAGCCTTAGCCCGCCACCCACCTACCCAGCCCACATTCCCTCTCCCACCCATCCCAGCCCCCCACTCCTATTCCCATGAGTGATGGCTGCTTCCCAAAACCCCAGATTCCTAGCATTGACCAGGAAGTGCCAAGTTGAAGGGTCAGGGAGTGACTAGCTCTCCGCTGTCTGTTCTGGATCCAGCCGTGGGGCAGTGCTTCCCCAGAGGCTGCGCCCACCCCAGCCATACCTCAGATCCTTGGCATTCCTGCCGAGGCGTTACTCCTCCCCACTCCTCCCCTCTCCCTCCCCCAAACACCCCGTAGCTCCTGAGCTCTTGCTGGAGACCTCTCGCTGCCTCCTTCTATCTGGACATCCAGTCTGGTGACCCGTCCACCCTCCCGGTCTCCCTGACAGTAGCTCAGTGTTTGCTATCTGATGGCTGCACTGGGGAGGGAAGAGAGGGTCCTCTTTGTGTAGTCATTGAGACCCCACCTCCTGCAACCTGGAGATTAAGCTCTGGGGGAGGGGAAGAGAAAAGAGCTGAGGTGGGGTAACCTGAAGCTCTTTGTCAGGGCACGTGGGACAACAACATCCCCACGCTCCCCTCTCCTCTCAAACCTTTAGCCCTTCCACCCACTTAGAGAACTGGGTCCTGACTTAGCCCTTTCTTTTGAAGGGCGCCCCCTGCTCCAGCCTCCAAGCCCAGGCCTGTCCCCTTCCGATGCCGCAGTCTGAGGAGAGCGCAGGCACCTCCTCTGCTCCTACTGATCTAGTGCTGCCCCAAAGCCAGCCCAGGAGAGGCCTGGTCGGAGCGAGGCGTTGGGCCCTAGGAGTCTTATCCCTGTGCTGGGGCAGCCGGCTGGGGCCCCAGATTCCTCCTGCAGCATTTTCCCAGCTGCTCCCCCACAAGAGCAGCCAGAGCGTGAAGACCACGGGGTGGATAAGGTTTCACTGCAGGCAGCTGTGGAGCTCTCCTCTGAGGCAGTCCTCAGCTTGGCTCCTCCTTCCAGTTTGTCTCTGTCATTCTGTCCGGCTGTTATCCCCCTTGCCTGGGGAATGGAAACCAGCCCCATTCCTGTGTGGAAGGAGCAGGGAGTGTGTGTGTGTGTGTGTGTGTGTGTGTGTGTGTGTGTGTGTGTGTGCGTGCGTGCTGCAGAGCCAGGAAACACCTGTCCTCAGGTGTCCACAGAAGTGGACATCAGGGCCAGGTCCCCGAAAGCAGCGGTGGGCGCTGGCATGGGAATGGGACTGTAGCGGCCACACCCACACAGGGAGAGGAGCACCTGCTCTGTCTCTCCAGCCCGCGTCCTCGAGCTGGGGAGCCACAGGGCCGGGGGTGAGGGTGCCTGCACTCCCTCACCACTCGCTTCTCTGCCCCGCACAGTTCCGGGGCCGTGCCAACCTGCATGTGTTTGAGGACTGGTGTGGCAGTTCCATCCAGCAACTCAGGAGGAACCTCCACTTCCCACTGTACCCCCACGTGAGTGCCTGCTGGGCCCGCCGCGCCGGCCCCCTCCTGTCTCTCATCTCCCCCTACCTTCTGCCTCCTTCATATCTTTCCTTGTGTCTTTTCTGGTCCATATTCTCTCCTTTATCTCTTGGACCCTCATTTTCCCTGTTCCCTTCCCAGGGATTCTTGCAATTTCTCTGCCATCCTCTGCATCATCTCAGTTTTAGGCTCTCATCGTGGCTCACAATATAGTTTACCCAAGGGCCACCACATACAGTTGTGCTGGTTGTGCACTGCACAAGGTCACCTGGACAAAGAGGCAGTTGGGAGCTGTATGTAGCCTGCAACCGCTCTGCAACCACACCGCTGGTCCCTCCTGGTGTGCCCACGAGTCCACTCTCCTCAACCTTCTCTCCCCCTTCTTGGTAACAGTTTCCTTCCCCTTTCTTGGCATAGATCCGCACAACCCTGAGGAAGCTGGCCGTGTCCCCCAAATGGAACAACTATGGCCTTCGCATCTTTGGCTACCTGCACCCCTTCACTGATGGTGAGGCCAGCCCCACAGCCCATATGCCTTTCTCCTTCCTGCCCCAGAGTCCTGCAGCAGCCCCAGAGAACATAAGCTGTGGCTGAGAAATAAGCCTGTGATGGGCCAACTAGTCCCTGGTAGTCCCTTGTCCGGGAGAGAGGGGACATTGTGTCACGGTGAGGTCTCATCCAGCTGCCCTAGGCTGACGCTTCGCTGCCTGGTTTGCAGTCTGGAACTAGCTCGTCTCTCGACATACCGTCTTCATCTTTGCGTTGAAACCCCCACCTTACAGAGAGGGAAGCCACAGCTCCAAGCCCCTGCCCTGCAGGGAATTAACACTGAGATGCAGGAGAGGCCTTCAGCTCTTTGTGCCGTGCCCTTCTTGCTCTCACCTGGAAACTCTCTCCCCCACTGCCCAGGGAAAATCCAGTTTGCCATTGCTGCCGATGACAACGCTGAATTCTGGCTGAGCCATGACGACCAGGTCTCAGGCCTTCAGCTGCTGGCCAGTGTGGGCAAGGTAGGGCTGGCCCGGCCCCAGCTCTCCCATGGGTCCCCATGCCAGGCCACTGGAAGGGCACCTGAGCCCATCAGGAGCCTCTCGACACCATTAGCATCTCTGGAGTGACACCAGGGAGGAAGAGGCAAAAGAGAAACATCTTCCCTCTTGTCCCTGCCCATGCTACACAGGGGTAAACTGAGGCAAAGAAAGGCATAAGGAGCCAGAGTCTGAGGCTGGGAAAAGACCCCAGGAAGGCTCATCTCTGGGCAGGGACCCAGCCACCTATGTCTCTTGGGTTCTGTAGTCCTTGGCAGGTCTGAGGATTCACCCTGTGGGCTGCAGATTGCTCGGGCCCTTCCATCAACGGCAGGCGCTCCCTGCATGGGCAGCCGGCCGGACTCAGTGCCTCCTGCCCTCTCTTCCTCTGTCCTGCCCTCTCGCTCTTCTTCTTTCTTCTTCTGCCTGTGTCTCTCATCCTTCTTCCTATTTTCTCTCCTCTCTCTCCCCACCGCTCTAGACTGGAAAGGAATGGACTGCTCCTGGAGAGTTTGGGAAATTCCGGAGTCAGATTTCCAAGCCGGTGAGGTAAGTGGGGAGAGTCGGCGGACACTCTTGTGAGCACCCCAAGTGCTGGGGCCAAGTCAGCGTGCGAGAGCCTACTGCAGCCCTCTCCACTACCCCAGCCTTCCTGTTCTGCGAGTACATGTGTCTGGGCACCCACGCATTCTGGATAAATGGAGTCATCTGGCCCATCCTTCCTCATTTTATAGAGGTCCTCCTCTATAAACTGAGGCCTAGAGAAAGGTGTGACTTACTGAAGGTCACGCAGCTATTTGGTGACACGCAGGACAGGAAAACAGATCTCCTTTCAGTCCTTGCCCTTCCTGTGTCCTCCATCCCTGGAAGCGTCCCCACCTGTCACAGCCAGGACACTGGCTGGGAGTTCTTACAGGAGCTGTAGGAATGACCTTGCAGTGATCCCTTGGTAGACTGGAGGGAAAGGAATGCCTTTCCCAGCCAATAGTGGCAGGATTCGCTTTAACATGCTGGAAAAGGGAACTTAGCCCAACTTCAGGGCGCCACCTGATGGCCTGCACACGCAGGCACGGAGCGCTTGCTGCATGCTGCCACCTTGCTGAGCTCGGGGGAGACCCAGCATAATGGCTGATGACATGGACTGTCTGGGTCCAAATCCCAACTCCACCACTTATTATTTGGGTGACTTTGGGCAAATTACCCAAGATTTCTGAGCCTTGGTGTTCTCTCCTGTGAGAAGGTGTGTCAGTGCGGGTAAAGCACTTAGAACAGTGCCTGGCACGCAGTAGCTGCCCTGTCAGGGTTAGCTCTCCTTATTTCTCTGGGTTCTTCCAACTCTGCTGTGAAGCGAGTGCTGTCGTCACTCCCCTCTGATTGAGAGAAAGCCGAGGTCACACTCTTAGTGAGTGGTAGAGAGGAACTCAAACCCGGAAGGTGTTGTGGCAGGCTCCCGGGCTTCTGTGAGCCAGCAGAGAGGAACGAGGACAGTATACGGGCGGGGGAGAGAGAGGGTGACAGGGGACAGGAGGCAGCCCGAGGAGACAGCCCTCCGATTCCCTGCTCTCCCCGCCAGCCTGTCGGCCTCCCGTAGGTACTACTTTGAGGTGCTGCACAAACAGAATGAGGACGGCGCTGACCACGTGGAAGTTGCGGTGAGTGCTCCTGCTATTCTGCCGCTCCCAGCTCGGTTCCTAGCGCGCCTGTCCCCTCGTCCCTCAGACCCTGCTTGACATCCAGCTACGTCCAGTGTTCTACACCATCCCTCTCTCCTCTTCCAGTGGCGACAGAACGACCCTGGAGCCACGTTCACCATCGTTGACTCCCCTTCCCTGTCCCTCTTCACAAGTGAGTGCCCCAAGGTGGGGGGGAGGAGGCTGGAGCTCCAGGTGCTTGGGACGTGTGTGTGAACGGGGTCCTGAACAGGGAGCAGAACCTGAGGGGACCTTAGGTCAGGAGTCCTTAACTCTCTATGGTCAGCAACTTCTTGGAGAACTTGCTAGAAGCTCTCTGAACCCTCACCACAGAAAAACACCCTTGTCCACCCCCCCCACACACAACATTTTGAATACAATTTCAAGGGAATCCAGAGATCTTGGCTCACTCTGGATTAAAAACCTCTGAGCGAGTCCAATTCCCTATTTCACAGATGAGGCAACCATGGTTCTTGCAAAGCCATAGCCAGAGGAGAGGATACTTTTTTACCTGCTTTGAATTTGCAGTAGATGAACTCTTCAATTGTACTTTTCATTTTTTATCATTTTCTCAGCATTTCTTTTTTTCTTTTTTTTAAAAAGATGACCGGTAAGGGGATCTTAACCCTTGACTTGGTGTTGTCAGCACCACGCTCAGCCAGTGAGCGAACCGGCCATCCCTATGTGGGATCCGAACCCGGGGCCTTGGTGTTATCAGCACCGCACTCTACCGAGTGAGCCACGGGCCGGCCCTTTCTCAGCATTTCTATTTTTTATCATTTTCTCACTCCTATCTGGAGGCCCCACTGGGGTAAAAAAAAAAAAAAAACCCACCCTCTACGAGCCGCTGTGGCAAGTGTGGGAGGAGCAGGCAGCTAGAACCCAGGGAGGAAGGGAAGGCAAGTGCCGGGAGTGCCAGGAGAGACCATGGGAAGTGCACCACGGTCTGCACCCAAGGTGCAGAGAGAAAGAGCCACAGTCTGGGCTTCCAGGAGAGGGTGCAGTGTGGAATAGCAAGGTTGGTGGCAGGAAGTTGCTGGTGACCAAAGTAAGAGGCCACAAGGTTAGGGCAGAAGGTGCAGGTTGTGAGCTGCTGGGATGATGCAAGAGGAAGAAGGGGAAGTTGGAATTCATAGATTCAACGTGAACCAAGAAAGAGGCCCAATGCAAAGTTCACTTATGATACTAGTAAGATGGGCCAGAGGAACCAGCCTTGGGTGTAGAAGGAAAAGCTCTAGCTGACGCTGAAGACAAGTGAACCCAGGAGGCAGAGAGCAAAGATGAGCAAGCAGCCCCCAGGGTGGGTGGGTTAGTTAGTTAGAAAAGGGAAAGAGGTAGGTGTGAGTAGACTTGAAGGTAAAAATGCCCGAGGGCGGAGGGGACAGCTGCCATGAACACTTGGGGGTGCCCAGCTCATGGCCGCTGGCTGGCGTGTGTATTTGAGAGGCAGCGCGACCTGAGTGCTGAGGCTCAAAGTGGGCTTTGCCACATCTCAGTTGTGTGATCTTAGGCGAATGACTGAGATTCTCAATGCCACAGTTCCTCAGTGGTAAAATAGTAATAATAGTACATAAGTCACGTGGTGGTTTTGAACATAAAATGAGTTAATATTTGTAAGCTACTTGGAACATTGCCTGGCTTATTATTTAGTAAGTATTATATAAGTGTTGAATAAATTAAACATACTTAAAGTGACAAATTTCTAGCAGTGGCAGTAAAACATTTTGAGTGTACAAAAGAGTTGTTTTTTTCTAATTTATACAAAATTGTGGTTTGGGCTAGCCTTGGGGCTGGTGGAGGGGTGCATAGGAGATAAGTAGCTTGAAACCACAAGTCCTGGGGGCAGGGCTGGAGGGGAGGGGGCTGAGCACAGCTGTGCTGTACCTGCGGGAGACAGAAGCCTCGTCTGCATCTCTTCCCTGGGCCAGATGAGACAGCACTGAGGATGGATGAGGTGGGCCACATCCCACAGACAGCAGCCAGTCACGCAGGCTCCCAGGACGCTCTTCCCAGAGACGAGCAGCCCCCTGCCGACATGCTGCAGCCTGACCCTCGGGACACCCTCTATCGAGGTAAGGCCATGGCCACATGCTCATCATGCAGTCTGGGGACCATACACTGCCAGGGCCATTGGGGTTGGTGGAGAAGACTCAAAACTTGTCAGTTCCACCACAATATCTCCAAAGTCATAGAGCCTTTTTTTTCTTGTAGTGTAAAATATAGCATGCATACAGAAAAGTACAAAAATACTTATGTACAATTTTGCAATTCTACCAGTCATTACAGAGTGAACCTCTGTGTAACCACCACCTAGAACAAAAAACAGAACTAGAACCCAGAAGCCCCCAGGTGCCCTTCCCCAATCACAAATATCATGGTCCTTTGTCAGATTCCAGCTCTTGTCATCCAGTAACATAAATACATTGACACCGGGTGTTAGAGTCTTAATGTGTATTACTTTTGGGAGTGTTTGCATTTTTTTTTTCCCTTTTTGTCTTTTTTTACTGACCGGTAACGGGATCGCAACCCTCGGTGTCGCGCCCGTACCGGGGACCGGCAATGGGATCGCAACCCTCGGTGTTGCGCCCGCACCACACTCAGCCAGTGAGCGGGAACCGGTCTCCACATGGGATCTGAACCCTCGGCGGGAGCGCCACCGCACTCCCAAGCGGTGCACTCTCCAGTGCGCCACTGGGCCGGCCTGAGTGTTTGCATTTTAAAAGGTGATAAAGCTCCCCCAATATTCCCCCTCCTCAAGAAAAATGACAAGTGGCAGATAAGGGGCTGCCCAACCCATGGAAGGAAATCCAGCTGTTGGTGCTGCACTAGGGTGGAGACTTGGTGGCCTCTTGGAGGTTTCTAGACCATGTTGAAGCGAGCCCCGTACAGTAACTGTGCCTTGTTCCAGGCACTATGTCCTGAGCCCTCTGCCACGAGGGGCTCTTGAGTTCCCCCCTCCCTAAGGGTAGTGGTGGCCTCAGCTGGCAGCCTCTGCTGATGGACCGGGACCAACCGTCGCTGCCACAAGTGAATACCGAAGGTGCCCTCACCCATCACCAGGAGCCTTTGTGGCTCCCAGCCAGCGCCAGTGTCAGCTCCCACACCCACCCTTGTCCTCTTCCCTTACTGTCCTCAGTGCCTCTGATCCCCAAGTCTCGCCTCCGCCACGTCCTGCCTGATTGTCCCTACAAGCCCAGCTACCTGGTGGACGGGCTCCCTTTACAGCGCTACCAAGGGCTCCGCTTTGTAAGTCTTGGACCTGCGTGGCGGGGGAGGTCTGGGAGAGGAACTCCTGCCTGTGACTGGGGTGGGAGGTGACAAGGCTGACTCCGCCCCCCCACCCCATCCCACCCCAAGCTGGGGAGAACTTGTATCCCAAGACAGCCTGCCCCAGATGGAGCCTGAGAATGGGTGCTCTGCCTTAGGACCCTCTGCCCCCGCCACCCACACCCAAGCTCTGTCCCAGTGGTGATGTAAGACAGCCTGGCTCAGGCTCCTGCACTCTCTGCTCTGCGGGCCACACAACCCTGTCCTGCCTGGTCAGTCCCCCCAGCCAGGTGGCCAGCAGGATTTATTAAACTCCTAGTCCAGGCACTGGGGAAAATGAACTATGGAGGGAGGTTAGCGTTAGAAAACCAGGAGCCCATGTGGAGTCTGGAGAGGCAGAGTGAGCTCTAGAGAGGATTTCCAGAGAGTGCTGGAGGCAGCAAGAAAGAGGTAGAGAGTCATCACTGGGTCAGAAAATGGGTGGGTATAATTGGGAAGTTTTTGGGTGGTGGTGACCTTGAGTTGTGTTGAAGGGGAGAGAAGAAGCACTGTCAAAGAGGGAGTGGTTTTTCTGGGGGTGGGAGGGCGCAGGAGGACCTGATGGCAGAGGGAGGAGGGGATGCTTTGGGCTGCAGCTGTGGGTATGAGCTGGGACGGGGAATGAGGTTGTGTGGAGCTGGGCTCAGAGCCCAGGAGAGGAGAGCAGACATAACCGGTAGAACAGAGTCCTGGTCTGCCTACCTAGATGTTTCACTCAGAGCTCAAAGCAGCCCAGCCCAGGGCAGGTCCCTCAGAACCCTCTGTGACCCCAGCCTGGGCAGGTCCCTTGGAGCCCTCTGTGACCCCAGCCTGGGTCAGGTCCCTCAGAACCCTCTGTGACCCCAGGCTGGGGCAGGTCCCTCAGAACCCTCTGTGACCCCAGCCTGGGGCAGGTCCCTCGGAGCCCTCTGTGACCCCAGCCTGGGGCAGGTCCCTTGGAGCCCTCTGTGACCCCAGCCTGGGTCAGGTCCCTCAGAACCCTCTGTGACCCCAGCCTGGGTCAGGTCCCTCAGAACCCTCTGTGACCCCAGCCTGGGCAGGTCCCTTGGAGCCCTCTGTGACCCCAGCCTGGGTCAGGTCCCTCAGAACCCTCTGTGACCCCAGGCTGGGGCAGGTCCCTCAGAACCCTCTGTGACCCCAGCCTGGGGCAGGTCCCTTGGAGCCCTCTGTGACCCCAGCCTAGGGCAGGTCCCTCGGAACCCTCTGTGACCCCAGCCTGGGGCAGGTCCCTCAGAACCCTCTGTGACCCCAGCCTGGGGCAGGTCCCTTGGAGCCCTCTGTGACCCCAACCTGGGGCAGGTCCCTTGGAGCCCTCTGTGACCCCAGCCTGGGTCAGGTCCCTCGGAGCCCTCTGTGACCCCAGCCTGGGTCAGGTCCCTCGGATCCCTCTGCGACCCCAGCCTGGGGGCAGTTTTACCTGGCTGCTTGGCCTCTTGAACGATCCCACCCTTACTCCGGCTGCTGCTTTCTCTACTTCCAGATTCACCTGTCCTTTGTTTATCCCAATGACTATACCCGCTTGAGCCACATGGAGACCCATAATAAATGCTTCTACCAGGAAAATGCCTACTCCCAGGACAGGTGAGTGACACGGAATGGGGTAAGATCATGGCCTTACGGGGGCTCTCCAGGAGCCAGGAGAGCTGCCTGGACAGTGGCCACGGTGCCCTCCCAGCCTGAGGGGTCTTGCTTTTCCTGGGCATGTCACGTGCTCACAGACACACCCCCTCTCACCCAGCCTCCTTCCTCCTCCACTCTAGAGCTCAGGCCACAACTTCAGACTCCTGCGGGGACTTGCATCGGAGCCAGGGCCAATCCACCTCTCCCTTCCTCCTGCAGGTTCAGCTTCCAGGAGTACATCAAGATTGACCAGCCTGAGCAGCACGGGCTGCAGCAGCCAGGTGGAGAGCGGCAGCTGACACTCCCAGGTCAGGCTGATCCTGGGGGAGGTTCAGACCAGGCCAGCCCCGTCCCTGAGAAGCTTAGGTCCAAATACAGGGCCCCTCCCCCCACACCCAAGCAGTGGGGAGCGGTACTCCCACCTCCCCATGTCAAGGTACATCTGCAGAATGACAGTATTTGTGACAGCATGCTGGGGTCAGCTGGAGGAGATTTGTAGCCCTGGACATTACTTGGACCACTGGAGGGATCACTGTCCCTGGCACCGTTTGGCTAGTTCTGCTGCAGAGCAGCATGGTCTTCCTGTGGCCTTTCCTCCTGAGGGGTTAGGGTGGCTGGACTCATTTGTTGGGTTCCTACAGGGACCAGGCACACTTACACGCTGTATGTGTCAGTCCTCACGACAACCTCGTGGGAGAGGGTTAACTGTGGTCGAGTGACTCGCCCAGGTCACACAATAAATGGCAGAGCCTGTACTCGAGCCCAGTCTGGAACCCCGTGGTGTATCACACATGTGATTACCAGCTGCCTTGTATGTCTTGTTGGGAAAAGGTTGAAAACCCCTGATGTGAGGAATGGTTGTTATTAACAACAGGTTTTGAGGAGAACCTTCCAGAAGAATCCCAGTATGAAGACGTAGCAGAGGAGACCCCTGCTTCCAATGAGCAGAATGCCAGGATGCTGGAGGGGAAGCAAATGCCCACCTCTACCCCTGGCCAGGATGTCACTGACTATCGCCTCCGGAGCCTGCGGAGACTCCTGGCTCGGCCTCGAGAGGCCCTGCTGGCACCCTCCCCCAAGCAAAACTCCACAGCGCCCTTCCCAGAGAGGACCAGCCATGTCCCAGTCCAGCAGCCAGAGAAGAGGAAGAGAAAACCCAGCCCTGAGCCCAGCCAAGAGTCACCTCATTCTAACAAGTGGCCCCTGGGGCACCTGGCGGGGAACCCACCTCAAATTAAGAGACCCAGGCCCACTGGGTACAGCCCTGGAAAGGCTCTAGAGCAGTCCCAGTGGCTGAATCAAGTGGAGTCGTACATTGCAGAACAGAGAAGGGGAGACAGGATGGAGCCTCAGGGTCCCAGAAGGGGTTGGCCTGGGGAGGAGGAGGTGGTGGCCACTGTAGGCCAGGAAGGACAGGCGGAGGGGGAGGAGGAGGGGGAAGAAGAGGAGGAAGAAGAGGATATGAGCGAGGCGTTTGAATATGTGCCTGCGTTAGACCCGGTCGTAAACTGGGACCAGACCTTCAGTGTCCAGAACCTCGACTTCCAAGCCCTGAGGACTGACTGGATTGATCTGAACTGTAATGCGTCTGGAAACTTGCTGCTTCCAGAGAAGGAGGCTCTGGAGGTCACGCGGGTCTTCTTGAAGAAGCTCAGCCAGCGGAGCGGGGGGTAAGGTAAAGGGCTCTCCTGGGGCTGGGGGCTGGCGGCAGGTTCCCCCTGCTGCAGAAATAGCTGGAACTTTACCCCCAACCCAGGCTCCTAGGAAGGACAAGTGCCTGGGGCTCCTGTCCCTGGAGATTATCTAGACCTGTCAGATCTTTGTCCCAGCATCAGGCAAAGTTCTAAAATCCCTGGGAGCCTGGCCCAGGGCATGTTTTGAAGGCTGGGAAGGCTTGGTAGATGTGGTCCACTCCCTCAGGGAAGGAGTACAGAGACAAACAGGCAAAACAGAGGCTAAAAAGTACAAATGAAGACCCCAGGTGTGGGCTAGGAGGACTAGGGCATGAGGCATGACCAGAGTTCTTTGCTTTTTCATTCATTCATTCAACCAAGTAACATTTTTTTAGATAAAATTCCTATGCCATTAAATTTGCCATTTCAGAGTATATAGCTCAGTGGTTTTAAAAGTATATTCCCAGTGTTGGGCACCACCATCATCTAATTCCAGAACACTGTCCTCACCTTTCAAAGAAATCCCATCCCTGGTAGTGGTTACCTGCCAGTCTTCCCTCCTCCCAGTCCCTGCAAACACTACTTTACTTTCTTTTCTTTTTTTTTTCTCTAAAAGATGACCGGTAAGGGGATCTTAACCCTTGACTTGGTGTTATCAGCACCACACTCTCCCAAGTGAACCACGGGCCGGCCCACTAGTTTACTTTCTATCTCTGTAGATTTCCCTATTCTAGACATTTTTTTTTTTTTTTTTTTTTTTGGACCAGTAAGGGAATCGCAGCCCACGGCATGGTGTGGTCTGCACCATGCTCAGCCAGTGAGCACACTGGCCATCCCTGTGTAGGATCTGAACCCACGGCCTTGGCGCTACCAGCGCCACACTCTCCCGAGTGAGCCACGGGGCCGGCCCACCTATTCTAGACATTTGATATAAATGGAGTTCTATAATATGTGGCCTTTTGTGTCTGGCTTCTTTCACTTAGCAAAGTGTTTTCAAGGTCCATTGGTGTTGTAGAATGTATCAGGTACTTTATTCCTTTGTATGGCTAAATAATATTCCATTGTACGGATATTCCACATTTGCACATCCACTCATCAGTTGGTGGACATTCTGGTTGTTTCCACTTTTAGGCTGTCACAAATACAATGCTGTCATGAGCATTCACGTACAGGTTTTTGTGTGGACGTGGTTTCAGTTCTCTTGGGTATATACCTAAGAGTACAATTGCTTGGTCATATGCTAACTCCATGTTTAACATTTGAAGGAACTGTCAGTCCATCTTCCAAATCAGCTGCACCATTTTATGTTCCCATCAGCAGTGCCTCTATCTCCAGCAATTTTACTATGTCCTCATCAACACTTCCTGTTTTCCATTTGGTTTTGTTCTAAGTACCTGTCTGAATGGTTGTGAAATGGTGGTTTTGATTTGCATTTCTCTAGTATCTACTGATGTTGAGCCAACCAGTCAACATTTATGTAACAACGCATTGTATCTTATGGACTGTTGATCTGAACAGAGCATCCTTCTTAATGAGGGTCAGTTTCTCGAGGAGCTTGTTTACTGGGACTGCTCTTATTCACCTTATGTGCTCAGGTTCGTAGAACTGTAGAAGACCTTAGAAGTCATCACTCTCGGTAGGTACATTTTTACAGATGGAGGCAGTGAGCCCTAGAGAAGCTGTGCATCTTGCCTGAGGCCATCTGGCTGGCCACTGGCAAAGCTAGGACAAAACCAGGGTCTCCTGACAACTGGCCTTGCAGGCTTCTCCCACACCATGCTCCCCTCATGGTGTGGGAAGGCATTGCTCAGCCCCCCACCCTTTCTGCCATAGGAGGTACCAGCTACAGCGCATTGTGAACGTGGAGAAGCGTCAGGACCAGCTGCGCGGGGGGCGCTACTTCCTGGAGCTTGAACTGCTGGAACAAGGCACGCGCCTGGTGCGGCTCTCTGAGTACGTGTCTGTGCGAGGCTGGCAGGGCATCGACCCGGCTGGTGGGCAGGAGGCTGATGCCCGGAACCTGCAGGGCCTGGTCTGGGACCCACACCAGCATCGGAGACGTGTCCTGAATGCCCAGGCCCCAGACCCCAAGCTGTGCTGGCCCCAGGGTTTCTCCTGGAATCACCGAGCTGTGGTCCACTTCGTCGTGCCTGGTAAGCCCCAAACCGAGCCTGGGCATTGTTGGCAGGTAGCAGTCCTAACAATGATATGAGCACTGATTCAATCTCACAGGAACTAGTGAGGGAGGCCACTTTACAGTTGAGGAAACTGAGGGTCACAAAAGAAAAGCAATGAGTTTCAGGTTACATGGCTAGTAAATAGGTACTGACTTGTAGGCCAGGGCTCTTTCTCTCATACTAGGTTTCAGGGTTGGGTGTGATGATCTACTGAGTTGGGGTACAGGGTGTTACAACTGGTCTGGGGTAACGAGACAGGGAGGTGTGTAATAGGGTGAGTTAGCTGGTTTTTACACTGAGAAAGGGTAGGACTGGAACTAAAGAGTGGTGACAAGATAGCAGGGTTTGATTGTTGGGGCATGGCATGGTTACCATGAGCAAGCTGGGGAGAAACCAGCCCAGGGCCTGCTGGTGGGGCCTGGTGGGATGGTATGCAGGGACAGGAGGCAGAGGCCCCTTTAACTGGCAAGCCGTGCCCTGCCTTTGTGCATCTGTGCCGCACTGCTAACAGCTCCCACAGTCCTATTGTCCCCTGAGCAGAGGTCCGCTGGGGCTCCTGGCTCGTGCTGGAACTGGAGGGGAGCTGCTGCTGTTTGTTGCCTTCCCTCTGATTCTTTCTCCCCATCTGCCCACTGGGGCAGTGAAGAACCAGGCGCGCTGGGTGCAGCAATTCATCAGCGACATGGAAAACCTGTTCCAGGTCACCAATGACCCATACTTCAACATCATCATCACCGACTACAGCAGTGAGGACATGGATGTCGAGATGGCCCTGAAGAGGTCCAAGCTGCCGAGGTGGGGAGCACCCCTGGCCAGGATGCAGCCTGGTCTGCCTCCTTCCTGAGGTCCTGGGACTGCTGGGTCCAGGATGGAGTCAGAACTCCCACCCAGCTTTCCTAATTCCCAATCTCCAGAGGACTCGCCTGCCCATAATCCCATGCCAGGAGACACATCATGGCTATTCTGTGCCTGCCCACTTCCTGCAGGGGACCACCACAGCAGAGTCCTGATACTCAGCCCCTCACTTCTCTCTTCTTCCTGCAGCTACCAGTACACAAAGCTAAGTGGGAACTTTGAGCGCTCAGCTGGACTTCAGGCTGGCATAGACCTGGTGAAGGTGAGTGGCCTTGGAGGGCTTGAGAGGTGTGATTAAGGACTGGTTAAGAGGCAGAGGGACATTTGGAGCATGTAAGGTAGTCAGCTCCCCAGGGAGGAAGGGAACAGGGACACAGGGTTCCTTTCTGCTGTGCTGCAGGGCAGTGCTCGGCAGAACTAAGCAAATGACAGTTGGGGCATTTCCCAATCGTCCAGAGTTGGGGGTGGTGTGGAATTCATCTCCGATGGTCGGACCTGTGCTGTCTGCCCAGTGCTGTGGGATCTGCCCAGCAGTCAGCTGTGTGAGCTGTGGCAGTCGCTGCAGTAGGGAAGCGCTAAGGTTCTCCTGGAGAGTTGCCTGGCCCGCTAGCCCTGTCTTTGGACTCTGCTGACCCTGCCACCTCTGTCCCAGGACCCGCACAGCATCATCTTCCTCTGTGACCTCCACATCCACTTCCCAGCTGCAGTCATCGATGCCATCAGGAAGCACTGTGTGGAGGGCAGGATGGCCTTCGCGCCCATGGTGATGAGGCTGCACTGCGGTGCCACCCCCCAGCAGCCTGAGGGTGAGCCTGCCCGGGACGAGGGAGGGAGCAGTGACCTCTTTGGCCTTAACCCCAGAGCTGGAAACAGTCGCGTCCACAGACACTAGTATCCTCCTCCCCCGCCCAGCCCTCCTGCGGCCTCTGCTCCCCTGGACAGCCCACCAGAGAAGTCCAGGCTGTGCCGACGGCCACAGCAGCAGATGCGGCCGTGAACGTTTCCTGTCCATCTTCCCTTCACTCATTCATCCCACATTTACTAAGCACTTACTGTGTGCCAGGCCCTGTGCCCCTGAGAAGATACAGAGATGGAAAGACAGCCTCCCTGTACATGGAAAGGGAGGTGGACACGTAAGTGGCGCAGCAGTGCTTTCAGCGGCTGCCATTGTCAATGCCCTTTGTAGGGCTGTCAGCAGCCCGGGATGCTGCCTGGAAGGACTGCTGCTTTCGCTGAGCTCTGAACCTCAGTGCGGGACTTGTTCAGCTACGACAGTTTTCAGCCTCAGTCAGCCCCATCTTCCAGAGAAGGCACTAGGAGCACAGCCTTTCTCCTGCCCCAGGCCCACCTCACCTGCAGCCTCTTGTCTGTCCACAGGCTACTGGGAGGTGAATGGATTCGGACTGCTCGGCATCTACAAGTCAGACCTGGACAAGATCGGGGGCATGAACACCAAGGAGTTCCGAGACCGCTGGGGCGGCGAAGACTGGGAGCTGCTGGACAGGTGACTGGAGACGGAGGGAGGCGAGCGACTGCTGCAGTTCCATCCCATCGGGTGCTCTGCGGAGGGGACAGGGCTGGCGTGAAAATCAAAGTGCCTGGCAAACAATCAAAAACTGTTGAGCCACCCAGACGTCCACGGTGATGTTCTCAGCACCAAGCAAGGCGCTGCGGGGGGTATGGCTGCATTCTCCCCGGCCGATGGTAGCCCTCCTCCCCACCATGCTGCCTGGAGGAGGGGCCTGAGTCGTGGGAAGGGATAAGGGAGACACAGGCAAAGGGTAAGGAAGGACTTTGAGGCCAGCAAAAGAGACAGTGTGGAGGGGCACGCCGGTTAGCTCAGCTGGTGACAGTGTGGTGCTGGTAACACCATGGTCCAGGGTTCAATCCCTGTACTGGCCAGGCACCCATCAACCAACAAACAAATAAAAAAGAGACGATGTGGACTATTAAAAGGCAGCAAGCTATCCAGGAGGTTCGGGGTCCCTGGAAGCCAAGGAGGAGGGTTTTGGGGAAGAGGAACAGTCAGTGGTATGAAGAACCTCAGAGGAGGACGAGAACGGAGGGCGAGCTGCAGACCTGGCAGGTGGGCGAGGAGAGGTGTCTCAGCAGGGAGCAGGGCTGGGAGTGACACCGGGTCGTAGGAGAGTGAGGGACATGCTGCAGTGAGCAAGTTAGGCCATCTTTTGAAAAGCCTGCTGCCAGGAGAAGGGAGGCAGCGAGGGCGAGAAGGGACAGAAACGGCCTCATTGCAGGTGCGGCGACCAGAGGAGGTGGCAGGGCTGGGTGAAGAGGAGAGGGCAGGGACCTTGGCCAGGGAGACACATGCTTCCTCCTGTAAGACGGGGCAGGTGTAGCCACCAGTCACTGGGTGCCTGAGTCACACACGCTTACCCCTCCCCAAACCTCTGAGGCAGGGGTGATTACCTCCATCTTTTGGATGGGGAGTTAGTAACTTGCCCCAGATCTCACTCGCTAAAGTGCCAGAGGCTTAAAAACTGGGCCTGTGTGTTTTTCCCGTAGAGGGGAGGGAGCAAAGGCAGATGACAGCATGAAGCGAATTTAAGGTGAAAAGGAGGGGAGTTGAGGGAATGTTTACCAAATAACTCGGATCTCATAAAGCTACATCAAAGTAGATCCCAAAGTGGATGGAAGCTGTGACTCGGGAAGGCCGTTGGGCGGCGGCCCGCAGGCTGGCTCTTGGTGCTGGGCTCTGCTTGCGTGCAGACCTCCCATCTCCTGAGGCCAACGACAGGGACACTGCTTCTCATTCTAGCACCTGGCAGCCCTGCCGGAGTGCCAGCCTCCTGTGAGAGGGACTCGCCGCAGGCTGTGACATAGGAAGGGAATAGGGGCAGGGCCTGGAGAGGGCGCCTGCCCCAGCCCTCAGCTCCACCAGACATGACGCTGTGACCCTGTAGGCTGAGTTTGTCACCGGGCACACGTGTGTGTTGGTGATTGTGCTGAGCTCTTTCGTCCGTCTTCTCGAGTCTTCGCCAACACCTCTAACATGTATACGTATACACACACGAAATTGTTACCCTCTTTCTAGAGATCAGCAAACAGGCTCTGAGAGGTGACATGACTTACCCAGGCATGGAGTGGGACTCAAACCCGGGCTGTCTGGCTTCAGGGCCCGCATTCCTTCGCCTGCATCCGCCTCCTCTGCCCATGGGAAGTGAGCAGAGGGTGGAGGGTCGGGGCCTGCCATGGATGGGGCAGGGTGGGCCTCGGGGCCTGGGCTGCGCCCCGCTTGCTTCTGTGGGCTCATCCTGCTCCTCCCTCGGCAGGATCCTCCAAGCAGGCCTGGAAGTGGAACGTCTCTCCCTGAGGAATTTCTTCCATCACTTCCATTCCAAGCGGGGCATGTGGAACCGCCGCCAAATGAAGATGCTGTGATCGCGAGGGGCGGCCCGCTGGACCACGGCATCCTGCTCCTGGACTTGCAGTTGTTTCCCGGGACCCCGTTGGCTGCTGGTGGGGAGTGGAGCGGGGCCTTGGCTCACAGCCCACTCCACCGCCTGGGCCTCCACAGGGGAGGACTTTGGGAGAGAGGCCGGGGGGCCGGTCGTTCAGTCCTGAGAAGGATGCGACCATGAGGTCAAAGAGGGAGAGACCTGCTTGAGCGATGCCATCTGTCTCCACAAAGGTCGTTCCAACCTCCACCCAGTGCTCCTCACAGGAGGATAGACCCGGAACTGGAAACTCCTCTGTTGGACATATTTTATTGGGGTTTTATTTTTTTTTTAACACAAAACCAGAACTGCTGTCCGGACCCAGCATGGACTGTGTGGGGTGGGGGGAGGGAGTTGTGATTGGGGGCGTGTCCCCTCCCCCCCCCCCCCCCCCCCCCCCCCCCCCCCCCCCCCCCCCCCCCCCCCCCCCCCCCCCCCCCCCCCCCCCCCCCCCCCCCCCCCCCCCCCCCCCCCCCCCCCCCCCCCCCCCCCCCCCCCCCCCCCCCCCCCCCCCCGCAGACCTCACACCCACTGCTGTGTAGTGGTATGTCCCTTGGGCACTGTCCCTCTCTGAGGGGCTGGCCCCACTAGGAGCAGTTCTCAGCTCTGCCCCAGGCTCGTGCCTTCCAGAGACACGCACATCTCTCCTGGTAGCCGCTGAACAGCTGGCCACCAATTAGGGCATTAACCTTCCCCTCGAGAGGGCACTAACTTCAGACCAGAAGCACAGAATGGGCGGGCAGTGGGCTGCACACCCCCCAGTGTCGGCACACGGGCCATGCAGGACAGGCAGGGCGTGCAGGCCAAGGGGAGAAGCCTTTCCCTTCCGGCTCTCCTGGGAGGTGAGGCCTCTGGAAGATAGGAAAGGGGGTGTGGACGTGACCTGACAGCGTGGCTTAGATGAGAAGAGGGGCTGGGTTAGGCAGAGAGGCATGAAGAGGGGGTAGACGACTTGGGTACCTCCAGCCCACCTCCCCTGGGAACTTGCCTCCCCTGGGAACTTGCCACCTCCCCTGGGAACAGCCCCCCACCTGGCCCTGCGTGGAAGAGGAGGAGGGGCCAGGGAGCAGGGGGCAAGGTGGGAGGTTTGGGGAGGCTGAGGATGGCACTCTGAGATGTCTTCCCCAAGTGGAAGGGAACAGGGGCAGGAGGAACTGAAAAGTGAGGCAGTTTCAGGGAAAATAGCTCTTGGCCTTTTTAGTCTCCAGCCCCCGTTGTGTCACCTGATGGTCACGCACTTGCACTGATAATCCCCGGGTGCTTTTGTGGCTGGGGATTTCTCTACTGTGCTGTTGCTGAATTCACCCATGCTGCATTGGACACTGTGGCTTGAACTCCAGAGTCTGTTGAGGGAGGTGAGCACGGGGCCTCCCTGCCACGAGGGAGGGTTTAAGGCAGGTGTGGCGGGGCCCCGGAGACCAGCAGCCGAGCCCAAGCCCGTGCTGTGACAGTGCAGAGCGCAGCGCTTGCTGTTGCAAGGTCTACCTAGTGGGCTCTGCACTCACCAAGAGCACAAGCTTGGCATGTGGGACAGTGGAGCCCATGAGAACCTTCTGGGGTTTGGGGAGGTTCCCTGCCTCCCTCTAAGGAATTAGAAAGGACAAAGACTTTTCAATTTAAGAGGTTGTGGCTTATGGATGCCATATTGCTCACTGGGCTATGGCTTTTTCTGGCCCTGCTCGGGTGCACTGCCCTCTGGAAAGGGCTCCCAGGGAGTAGGCCGGGGCTGTAGTTGGCCAGCCAGGGTGCCAGGTTTCTTTCTGGGGCCTCTTTCATCCTTGGGCATTGGACTGGAAGACCGGAGCCAGCCCCCCTGCCCTGCCCTCCACCGTGCCTCTGGGCCAGTGCCTTGTGTCTGATGTTTGTTACCTCCACACCATCTGCCTTAAGGGGAGGGCCTGGCATGGCCCCTACTCTGTAGGGAAGTGTCTTGGGGGGGGAGGGGGGAGTGGGATAGTGGGAGGAAAAGCGTTAAATACAGCATTTTCTTAGAAAAACAGACGGCTCTTGTGTTTTCCTGTTGCCCATTCAGGGTGGGAGAGGATTGAGCTGAGGGGCCTGGGGATCACGTCTCTGTGCCCCAGCCTGCCTCTGGACATGCCAAGGACCCTCCCACACCACCTCCACCCTGTACCATACTTAGTTTGGTGCCTGCTGCATGGGGGATAGCCTTCCTGGTGCTGTGGCTTACTCAGGAAGGGGACAACATTGTCCTGTCTGAGGAGCTCATAATCTAGTGAGTAGATCAGATGTGTTCTGTTCAGCAGGTGAATGGAGGTTGGTGCTGTCAGTTGAGAAAGGCTGTGGCTGCCCTGGGTGTAAAAGGCTCGATATGGAGGCAGGATGGGTTGGAGAGCAGCGGAGAGGAGGTGAGGCGAGGCTTCCTCTCCAATGGAAGGCAACTTAAGAATCATTTCTGCTTGGGCTGGGGACACCGTGTCCATGCTTTACAGGGACAGGCTTACCTTTCCAGTTTTATTTGACTGAGGCAAACATCAAAATTAGTTTGAATTCCTTAAGAGGCGCTGACAGTGTGAAAGCCAGCATGGGTTCGTAGTAGATTCTTAAAAAGAACGGTGCATATGTGCATCTGTCCAGAGTAGACTAATCTTCAGTTGACAGAGCAGATGGTAATAAGCCCAAGGTATCTGGGGCCAGGAAAGCTGACTCAGTGGGACCCACAGGGGCGGGGGTGATTTAAAAGCCTCTCTCTCCGGGCCTGGGGTGTGTTCCTTTGAGCCCCTTCCAGGACACAGACGGAGGGGGCACCCAGAGCCCAGCCCAGATACTGCACCCTCAGGACTTAAGACAAAAAGAAGAAATCTGAGTGGATTTGCAGAAGCCTTTATGGATGGAAATCATCCCATTTTACAGAAAGGGAAACAGGCTTGGAGCAGCAGGAAGAAATGGGGTGGAGTCACAACCAGAGTCCTTAAGCTGGGCAGACCTGGCCTGAGGCAGACATGCCTTAGGTCCAGGAGATGCTGCCAGGGGGGAAAGGTTGCCAGTACCTGAGCATGAGCTCAGGACTCCAGACCAAGATGGAGTTCACTTAGACCAGTAAAGTATCACATCTGAATCAGGTGCTGTGGGTAGGAAGCAAGGGCTTCTACGCTGCCCTTCGAGAAGCTCTGCCAGGGGCTGTGGAGAGTGCCCGTCAGCCTGGCAGGTGAAGGAGGGAGGAGGCAGAGGCAGGTCCAGGGCCTGTACCTGAGGGGAAGCAGAGACGCGGTGAGGGCAGGGCAGGCAGAGCTCTGAGCCGGTGTGCACGTCTCACCTGGCCGTCTTACCGAAATGCACACGTGCATTCATTCAGTTGGTCTGGGCGGCCTGAGACTGCATTTCCAGCAAGCTCCTGGGGGTTTTGTTGACGCTGCTGGCCCGAGGACCATAGACTGAGTAGCAAGAACTGCTAGCCAATGCCAAGGAAAAATCCACATCTCCGTCTTTCCTCTTGCCAGTGTGGCAGAGCCAACCACTAACCACATCGCCTCCCACCCCCACCCCCCTGCAGGCTATGAAAAAAGTCTGAGCCTGAGACCCAGAGGAGAGTCGTTCATTAACAGAGCAAAGGGGGCTTTGGTCAGGCCTTTTGGGGGGGATGTGGGGGAGCTAGTTGGTACAGGGATCTGAACTCTTGACCTTGGTGTTATAACGTGGTCAGGCCTCACTGAGTCCCAACCGAAGCTCTTCAAGATCCCCTCCTTGCCTGAAGATCTATAAACCTTCCCCTTTTCCTTAGCAAGGGATCTGTCTCTGACCCCAAAGCCCCAGAGGTGAGGGAAGGGACACCTGGGGAGCCCTTGGGCCTGGGGACCTCCCCCCTTCTCCCTCACCTGGGTCCCAGGCTGTGTTCAGAGAGGATTCCTTGAAGCCCTGGCAGCCAGGAACCCAGTCCTCTGTGCCCCGAAGGCTGTGATGAAAACGTTGATGACCACTGTGATGAAGACCAACGTGGTGGTGGCGTCGTTGAGCTGGTTGAGTCTCCACTGCTTTTCCACCTCGTTCAGGTTCAGCCGCGCTGTGGAGAAGGGGGGTGGGCGGCGAGGGGCAGGGTGGCCCCACGGCCTGCAGCTTCCCCCACGACATCCCCTGGGGCTTGGAGAAGCCTGGCACTTCCAAGTCCCATGTGGCAGAAACCAGGGGATGTGCGGTCCTGGGCTGAAATGCCTTTGCCCTCACTGACCGGCACGTGGGGCACCCCACGGCGCTTCATAGAATCAGGCTCGGGGACTTGTGCTGGCTCTTCTGAGAGGGGCGAGGGCTCACAAGAGAGGCCCCAAGGGACTCTGCTATAAGTTAGGGAGGATCATGGCGTGTCTGCTCTCAGGGATGGCGGCAGGTAGGGCAGGGTGCCGCCCTCGCTATGGGGGTGTGATTTGGGCACTCGGGTGCGGAGGGCTGACACTAGATTAGTGCGGGGTGCAGGAGCCTGTGCTGATGCGGACAGTGCAAGGAAGCGCGGGGCTTTTCCTCCCACCCAGGGCACCGAGGCAGGGACCTGACGCCAGGCCCAGCTCCTCACCAATGACCATGAGGAGGATTCCGATGACCACCTGCAGGAGCAGAGAGATGCTGAGGAGGGTGACCAGGGTGGCGTAGTAATGAGAGGAGGGCCCCTGTTCCAGCACGGCCTTCAGCCGTGTGGCATTGGACATGAAGAGAGCCACGTCCAGCATGCTCTCTGCCACGCTCTTCTTGGTGGCATAATGGTTCAGGTTGATGGGTAGGTTCCTCCTGGGGTTGGAGCTTCCAGGCTGCAAGGGAGAAAGCACAGTCTTAGCTAGGAAGCTCTGGAGAAAAGCAGTTGAAAGATAGGAAAGAGGAGAGGCTTTAAAGTTCTTTCCAAACCGGGTGGGCACTTAGGACAAGGAACACCCTTCGTGGAGGGTCACCTCTTCACTCGTGTCTTCATGCGTCTGGCTGAAGAAAGGCTGGAGGGTTCTCAGCTGCTTGTAATGCAGCTTCCTCATTTTCTGCACTATTTTCCTTGGGTTGGGTCTCAGGTTTGAGCTGCTTTCTTTTCCTCTGAGAGGAAAGCACCCGAAAAGGCCACAGAAGAAGCTTTGAGCCTTCGGCGGAATAGAAAAAGGCAGCTCTTCTCCCAGAATGACGTGGCCTGAGGCAGGGTGCATAGCTCAGCTGATGAAACGGGCAGCTTTTCCAGCCCACTAGGTGCCTAGACCAGGGCCACCAGGGCTCTGCCCAGGCGCACACTGGCTGTCAGACACTGGCTGTCAGAATACACATAAGTATGTATGCAGGCATATATGTGTACACACGGTAATGCATACCAGTTAAAAACTCTTAATTTAATTTGTTCTTTAAATTACTATTTTGGCTAGGATTTATTGAAGCATAATTTACATTTGATTTGATTTTAAAGTAGAAAACAAGCTCTTATTCTCAAGAAGCCACCAACTCTAAAAGATGGAATCACAACATAGCACACATGGTATGGCCTCTGGATTGGGCCAAGAAATCCAGACTCGATGCCGCAGGCAATCCATAGTCACTCAAGAGTGCTTGGGAGATTATTTAGCGGTGGTGCTTGGAACAGATTGCACTAGGAAGGACCAGGGCAGAACACTTATTTAAAAGTTATGGTCTGAATTTAGGGTCAGGGTGCTGAGGAACTGAAATGGACTGGTGGTGAGGAGGAAGGGAAGGGAGAACTTTGAAAGATGATGCTATAGCCTGGAGGTAGGGAAGCCGACCCAGCAGATCACCACGACAGAGCAGATGTCTGTTGAGTGGATGGATAGGCAGGTCTCAGAGGATCTGGATGCTCCTTGTATTCAGTGTGACCCCAGCAAGTCACTTCACTTCTCTGTACCCCAGGTAATTCCACAGAGGCCAGTTGAGCGGGGAGAGAAGCCTATCTGATCAGAACCTTTAGACTCTGAGAGTCCTTAAGATGTTCTGAAATTCAGTGGTCTCTAACCTTGCTTGATTGTGTAATTCCAGCATTAAAAATGGCTTTTGACCACGCATCCCTAATATATGTACATTCTTCCATTATAAATTATATGCATATTTTATTGTACTAATATAAAACATAAAAAATTGAAAGGATTGCATAAAAGTACATATAAATAAAAGCTTAATTTTGTTATTTACCAAAAGATGCTCTCGAGTACCCCGCTTGGAGACTTTAGCTGTAATCCACATGCCTGCCTGCAGACTGAACCAAACCTCTTCGGGGCCAACAGAAGGGGCATCTGTCCCCCAGTCCTTCTAAAGTTTGCTTTCAAAGTTCAGGCCAACATCTCAACCTTCCTCTTCTTAACTTTATTTCCAAATTTCTGGCCCCTTGCTCCCTTTGCCAAGAGGACACACACATACATCATTGGTCAAGGCAGGCGCTGGGTTGTGGGGGTGCTGACAAAAGCCCCCGCTCTGGGAGACAGGCTGCTCCCTGGCAGCGTGTGCCCATCTCTGTGGACTGTCCCGAGGATCCCGGCACAGAGAGGTGTCTCTTTCACTTTCAGACACACTTTCCTCCAGGCTGTCAGCTCTCTACACAGGGCAGTACCCTGTGCTTGGGTCACTCATTATCAAAATTTCGTGTGTGGGCCGGCCCGGTGGCGCACTGGATAGTGCGCCGCTTGGGAAGCACGGCGGCGCTCCCGCCCGAGGGTTCGGATCCCACATACAGACCGGTTCCCGCTCACTGGCTGAGTGAGGCGCGGGAGCAACACCAAGGGTTGCAATCCCGTTGCCG